CCTTCATGGGACCCTCTCTAGAAGGTTTCTCTTAATGAATCAGAAGTGCAGCTGAAACACAGACTTTGTTATTGCCAATACACCTACAGGAGACTACAATATGGAAATGAAGAATTCAGTAGAAGATGCTTTTCACCAGCAAGACAAGAAAGCAGAGGTGCAGCGACCATGTGTTACGCTGCCCGTGAGAAGAAGGATAGGCTCAGCACCTTTGAGACAGCCCCTGGTACCAGGAAATAGAAACGCATTTATTCCACCCTCCCTCTTGCAGAAGCCATGACAAGCACTACCAGGGCAGCTTAGCTTCAGAGATACTGTGAGCAACAAACAGTGGCTTATGAGCCTTATTCCCACCGACTGTGATCCAGCATTTTTCCAATTTCACATGTATTTCTCTTTCCTGACCATCACAACACTTGCCAGATCTTCTCTCAGTCACAATATTCGCCAGACTGACAGTGTAAAGTTGAGGCCAACTAGAGAAACCAAAAGTCATGGCCTTAAAAGTTCAACAGTTAACAAACAAGATGCCAACTAGGACTTTCGGTGGACATCTACTGGGAAGATTTAAGCTCCCTTCTTGAACTGGAATCATTAAATGAAGGATGTGCTTTTACTTAATAAAAATGCAATCCATAGACTTATCTGTACATAGATACTATATATATGTGTGTATGTACACGCATCTGCACAAGTGTAATCATACACGCTGTTGTTTATACAGTAAAGACAAATCATGTATTAAATTCTTTCACAGACTGGTTAAGAGTGATTGAAAATATATCACCAGATATTCACAGTAAATATCTTGTTCGGTTCATTAAAGTGAAGTACTGTAGAAGCAGAACATCACCTTCGAAGCTGTTAAACAGGGTGTTCGCTGGGATTCAGGGCAGCACTGTGAAAGAGATTTAAAGCAAGAATGGTGTTTTTAAAAGTATACATGTAATACCAGACAGAAGTAAATGTATCTGAACACGGTAGGGGTGAGGGTTGGGTTTTGCTTTTTTAATCCTGTGCTGCATATTGGTATTCTTCCTAACAGTTTAAGCAGGAACTTTTAGAAGTTCCCATTTTACCAAACCATAACCCAGGCTCTTTCTCTGAACTACCTGCTTTTGACTGAAATCCAGTTCCATCATTTAGTAAAAATGGAGCAAATAATCTCTTTTAGATTAATGCAGGTATTTAGCAGGTTGTTAAATGGCAGAAGCACTATGCCAGAACATAGTTAAAACTGAGGCCTTTTTGGTTTTTTCTTTTTTCTTATAGTATGTACAAGCATTTGCTTGTTAAGGGGCAGAGTCTCATGTTCAGAGATCATTCATTTCTAAGCTGAAAGATCATTTAAGTGAAAAGGCTTACTCAACATGTACAGAGAAACAAAAGAAAAAGGAAAAGCTGATAAGTAAAACGAAAGAACGAGTAACAATTATGGTGAGCACACACCACGTCCAGCCATAGGCATCTAAGTGTAAGGCTCCATGGAGAAAGACAGATTTGTAACACGGGTGCTTTCAATCACTCTCTAAAGGAGAAGCGTGGCATCTGCAGAGCCTGGGCACCACAGCATAGGTCCAAATCAGGCTGAGGTTCAAAGGAGTGGTGTCCCATAGCTCAGGTTTTGCTCATTTTAACCGTTCGCTAGCCCAGGGAATCCAAAGACTAAAGCTCATCCTAGACAGCATATTTTTTTCAAATTCTCTTAAAACTTATACAGGTTACTGAGGGATGATGCAGTCTCCTACAACTAGTTTTAGTGCCTGCCAGTTCATAAAATCATAATAAAATGGGTCTAATCTCAGTTACAGCAAATCTGAATGACATTGACTGCTGTCAGTGCTGATCTGGAGCAGACACCCTAAAGGTGTCGGTTGTAAGGAGCAGAGTTTCTCTGGAGTTTCATGACCATAACAAAATCAAATTTGGCCATAATCTTCAAAGACATTAAATTTTAAGTGTAATTCCAGAGTATATTACAATCTTTGAAGGCTTTACAAATGCATTATAAATGGCTTTATAGGCCATTATAAGAGCCTCATAAAAGCGCTAAACATGGACTCCGTGCTGCACCCACCCATTGTCAAACAGGGTGTGCAGGAGCACGGTATCGTACTGAACTTCAGGCTGCACTAGAAGTACCCCCAGCAAACGGGGACTTGGGTTCCTTTATTCAGAGGTGTGGCTAATCATGGGGCTTCTAGGGTTGACCTTGCTGTGACTCCAGACCTGGGCAATTGGCAACACCAGAATAACATTTAACATATTCCTGAGGGCACATAAAAACAGCACTGAGAAACATCAACTCAGTATCAGCAACAAAGGGCCAGGTAATCTGCAACTGCACATTTAATTCTATGTCTGCACTGCAATGCTGGAGATATTAGGCACATACTTTGGAGTTTATAAACATGTCCTCCCTCATCCACCTGGGATAAGCCGATTTCCACGTTCATCCAACTGCAAGTAGATGGGTGACGCTTTCACAAAGTGCTGGCTAAGTTCAGCAAGACTTTCAGCCTTTCAGAAATTTTACAAAGAAAACCTAGTTTCAGGAACATAATGCTGATGAGGAATTTGCCTGGATTAGGAAACTGGCTCCAACTCAGTCTCTAAAACATTGTTGGAACTTTTGGGCATCAGTTACAAATCCTTGTATATCAGTACACCTGTGGTTTACTTAAGCATAATTTCATTATCCGATGAATTGACTGACTGAGGAGACTAGAAAGAAAAAAATCATTCAACAGTTTCTAACTGAAACCATTGATGTATGGATTTCTTATGGCAGTCATGCCATCGCTACTACAGGTAACTCTTGCCACTTACAGTGATTAATGCACCAAACAGCCAGGGTGACTTTGGTCAAAAAGAGCCTTCCCCAGTACTGCGTGTCTGCAGTGCAAAACTGTAAAAGACACCAGTTACCACTGGAAAAACCTGAACGTGGAACCAGAAATAAATTAAGGAAATGGCACCTTGGTTTCGGAGCAGGTCACCTCCCTAATGCCTTTTCTTGTGGGAGGGAAAAAGTAACCTACAGATTTGATCCCAATAGCTGTTTCTCAGGAATATTTCAATCCTTGGGTAAGAATTTACAATCTGTGGACACTTCCATATCGAACCACGGTGTAAGACCCTTGGAAGCCAAGCCCAAACCAGCTGCCTTTGGACCTGGAAATGGTGGTGATGTGCTCGGAATAATCAGCATCTTTGAGAGCAGGGCAGTTACCGCAGGAACAGATACAAACAAATACCCTGACTTCAAGACCTGAGCTAGTAGCTTTGCACAGCACAGCCTCACCACTGTGCCGGTTCATCAGTGGATCTCACACTTCCCCAGGGATGTCTGGCACAGTTCTGCATTGCACCGCGCAAGCATCAGGCCAGCAGAAATCCTTTCAAATGGGTCGTTTCCTTGCCTCTTCCTTACTTAACATGAACAAAGATCTTCCCCCAAAAAATCATGTGTTTTTCATAAAATGACTTAGTATCATGGAAAAAGAATGAGACTTAATTACTCCTACGCTGTGTTAAGACCTATTGCCGTTAAAAATGAAAACCCAAAAAAGTGTTGCACCGTGCTTCTGAGCTCTAACCTACTGTTAAATAGTGAACATACTGGATCAGTGGAGAGAATATACTGTGAATATACACCTATATCCCAAGGTGATAACCCAAGCCATGATACCAGCTATTCTACCCTACCTAATGAATAATAAGCAGTAGTTTTGGTAAAGTGCTTCAATCTTCCTCCAAAAAAAGTTATGAAAATATAAGTTTTGGAAACATCTCCTTCTTTAAGAAGCAGATCTTTTTGTTTCCTTGCTACAATAGCACTTGTATACAGTAAGCACTGTATTTCTACCTCTACTATCCATCTGCTTCCTAGCTAGATTAGATCAGGAACAATACATCTGGATGTAGAGGAAAATGCCACAATCTAAAATCTTTAAAGGTTCTGTGAAAGCCTTTGGCTACAGTGAACATTGTAAAAACAGAAACTTCTGAATAATAATTTCACCAGAATTAAAAGAGCAGATTCATAGCAAAAAAAGGACATGAAAGCCACAGTATATTTTCATGGGGAGGCAAATCTGCAGGACCTGTTATTGATGTTCACAATATGTTGTGCAATGTGCTGTGCTCAGGTACACTGCACACCCAGCCCTCTGTCCTCCAGCAGCTGGAGTTAAAAGCAAAGGTAACAATGTTCAAAGACATCTGAGACACATGTTAAGTTTTTGAGAACCAGTATCCTTGACTCAATGAACGAGAATGTGGAAGATCCCATTTATTAACAGACCTGAAATACTGTGGCTATTGGTGAGGATGTTGTTAAATGTAATTGCTTTAGGAATATATCAGTTGGCAAATAAAATGTGCAATTTTTTCATCTTTTTAGCCTTCCGTTGACTACCCAAAAATAACTTCGGTACCAAGTAGCACATGTTCCATTGAAATGACATACATGTCTCCTACTGCTCTTTGCATAATTACAGATATATGAAAATATACTGTGACATTTAACATGCTGTACAGGTGACTAGACAGTGACAGCAGCAGCAGCAAAAAACCCCCACCAAATGCTGAAAACATAAGCACCCTAGCAAGTGCTTATTCATATAGGCAAAACTCGAGCTAACGATGTAAGGCATGCTCCAAAAACCTCAGAGGTCACCTGGGGCTCACGGGGACGGCTGCTGCTGTCAGAATTCTTATTCCAACATCCTGAGGGAGAGAGGGGGAGTGCAGGGAAATGGGCACCAATGGAGAAAAGAAAAACTTTAGAAACTGTACCCTTGCTGTCAAAAAGGCTTCAGAGTCAGCTGCCATCTTGACATGAGGTTGCAATTCCTGTTACCGTACCTTTTTAGACACAGGGAACATGCTTAGTGAACTGGTCCCTCACTCGTTTTCAAGAAAGATCAAATTTGAAATGTTAGGGGGGCTGTTTGTTTGTTGGTTGGTTTGTTTGTTTGTTTTTAAAAAGAAACACCTCAGCTCTCTCCAAACATGTCTTTTGCTGATTCTGGAGACTGGGGCCTTGATACTTCAAACAACTCCTGTGGTGACTGGGAGCTTCTTCTTGAGGTTAATATCCTAAGTATCTCAGCAAGCTGTTTTTCTATATTGGTCATTTTTGTGTTTAAAGCCTTGATGTCCTCTTTCAACTCGTGTTTCACTTCTAACATGGTGGCCTGAAGAGTCTGTTCTGGGATGGGATAAAAGGAATGCTTGACCTCAGTGAGGACCGGGCTGTGGTCCTGTGGACTTCTGGTCTCCCCAGCGTTATCCAAGCGCAAGTCACTTTTTGTAATGCCACTATCACAAGAGTCTGTCTTCTTCAGGGTAGCTTCTCCCGAAGGTTTAGTTCTCTCTGGTAAAGTCTCCATGGACTCTGCTTTAGAGACCTTGTTCCAGTCTTCACCCTTCCCACAGGCGTCTTTGAATTTGGCCCAGCCTTTTCGTCGGGGGTAGTCCCCTGACACTTTACATCCTGCGTAGTCCGATGTCGGGGCCTGCAGCTTTGCCTGGTCAGATGCCCCCGAAGTTGAAGCGGACTGGTACGACACAGGGGTCGCCGGACTCTCCCGTACAGTCACAATGCTGGCTTTGACCACCGAGCGGGCGGAGGAGTGCTCCCCTAAAACGTTGCCCTTCTCCACGTCCAGGTCATCTGGATCTCTGCCCCTCTCTGCTGCGAGCCGCGCTTCCTTCTGCTGCCTGAACCTCTGGAACAGCCGGCGGACCGGGTGGTCTGGGGGTAAGATCAGAGGCGCTTCGTTCTTCCTTTTCATTCTCTCCTCTTCTTCACGTTTGACGTCACTGATTTTCCGGAACACAATCTACAGGGGGAAAGAGATTTCACTTTGTGATTAACTGCACGTTGTTAAGGGGGGAAAGTTGTAGAGAGTGAATTATTTGAAAGAATTTATTTTAACTGACAAACACACAACTTCTGTGCATTTATAGCAACATTTTCAAGTGCCTTTTCTTGTGTGGAATGTGACTTATTCCATTATTTAAGAGCATACACTATCTGTCTTATAACACGAGAAAGAATAAAAAAGAAGAAAAATATTTCTCCAGTTCTGAGAGGTCAGCAGTGCAGTGTCATTGTAAATATAACGATCCCAGGAAGTTACTTTGGTTTTTTTGTGTTAGAAGTGACTTCTTAACTTGTATTTGTTTTCCTGACTCTATGGTTTAGCACCTAGTTTCTAATATTACAAAGAGCCATTCCCATGTCTTACATCAGTCTCATCCCAGAGCTCACTCACTACATGCCATGCAAAAGATCTGATACTATTTTAGTGCAGCTTGGCCACTAATGGGGTCAGTACAGCAGACACTACTCTGGACTCTCCAACAGCAGTTTGCAAAGTGCTTCTTGCCCTCCCTTCCCTCCCACACCCTCTTCTAGAAGAAACTTGCAGTTTAGGGATGAGGCAAAGCTCAGGTCAGTCCCGCAGTCAAGGGCACAAGGACAGTGGGGAACGGGCTCTGCGAGACATGGGGAAGCTGTTCATGGCTTGATTACTACAGAAGCTTGAAAAGATTCATGTCTTGATTTATTTCTTTATTTCTGTGGAAAAGGGGACATTTTTGCACAAAGAAACATTAATTTTCCGTCTTCCCTCCTAATTATATCTTCCTGAGCCTGTAGGCTAAGTGATCTTGGGAGCAGCCCAAGGGTCTCATGGTACCGATGAAAGCCTCGCGGTGCCCCGACACAACCCTGAAGTGCAGCCAGGCAATGTTTCTTCCCTGGACTTGACGGCAACACATTCTCTTCAAAAATGCCATGCGTTTTACTTTGGTATTGGTATTTTCCAAGCAAAAAAACTCCAGTGTGGTATTAAATTAGAACCAGTAAGTAGTCTGGTTTGAAAATGGGAGGTCCCCTAAGCTGAAGTTTTCAATACAGAATATACAAGATGTAGCCCCCAGCTTCTACTGAATGCTGACATCTAATCTCTTAAGCTGCTTTTGGGAAAATCCACTCAAAGTCCTGTCACTCCAATGCAGAAATAACTTTCAGATTGAAATCATTATTAGGAAATGTGTAAATAAACCCATCCCTCTGTTGCAGACAGATTTAAATTAAACTAAACATAATAAGCACTGCTTCACTGGTGCACACACAAAATGCATGTTTCTCCTGACTCCAATGCTTCCTGACAGTTTTGTCATTGTGAAGCAGGGAAAAAACATCTTAACACTGCGTCTTTGGAAAGAAGACATTGTCAGACTTGGCAGGGCTTCCCAAATACAAAAGAATAAAATTAGCAGGAAGGATAATTTATTTCGAAGCTGCAATTAGGAAACTAAATGTGAGATAAGAGCAAGAAAACAAGGTACTTGACAGTATTTTTTTTCCCCAGGAAACTCAGTCTGCAGTGAGCTCAGTAGAAAGCGGACAAAGCAGCGTGATCCTTAGAAGTGAAAGAATAGCACTTACTCACTGGGAAGGGAGAATCAATACAATGCTCCGGGCTAATGGCTTCCCACACACTGGCAGTGCCCTGCTTTAATTGAAGGAAGAGTGTCAGCCTGGCGTTAGGGCGGCTGCCCTGCACGCTCTGCTGCAGCCTAGTGATGCCAGGCAGGGTCTCAGGGGGTCACTCTGGCAGTGGGCTGAGGCTGGCTCAGGTGGCACAAAGCCCTAGCGAGCCAAGGCAACCATAAGCCAAGTCAGTTTGTCTCTGCAAACTTCTGTGTCCCCAGGCCCCCTCCTCTCCTGGAGCTTGCGTGTTTGGCGCTGGTGTGGACACCCACGTCCTGCACGGCGCTGTGCCAGACAGTCACGCAGTTAATGGGGCTCGTGTCCCTTTGCACGTGAGCAGTCTCAGTCTGACTTATGTATCTGGGCTGTGTGTTTTCCTTAAATGCTCAGAAGGGGCGTATGACTGGGTGGTGCAATGGTCACCCTCACAGGGGTCACCAGGGAAGGCACCTGGGTGCTTGAAAGAGCTAGAGGCCAGACTGCTTCGTAGAGTCCTTGTCTAGTCCAGCCCCTACTCCACGCAGCCCGCTCGGCACCTTGTCTGGTGAGCACTGGAGTACCTCTCACTATTTAATGATTGGCTTTTGTAACACAAATGGGTAAGTTATTTGACAGAAGCTGCCCCTGCTACAGCACCATACAGGTGAGAGGGCAATGGAGCAAGCCTCAAGCAATAACTTATTAACAGCCAAGCCCAACCCATACTTGTACTAGCCATTGCTGTACTAGACGTTGCAGCTGGTAGCGTGGTCTCCATTCTGGAGTACATCAGAAGCAAATTTGCCAGCAAATGGAAAAAGGTGAGCACTGAGAGATAAGCTGTTGGTAGTGCTTATGTCCCCACAGCCCTGGCTGCTTTCCGTTGCACTGCCTAGATGAGCCCTGTTGATGCTAAGCACACTCGGCTGTGGAGGAGCTGCCATCAGCTTTCTTGCTGTGGTGGTCAGCCTCAGGGCCCTGAACGTACCTGCACTCCTTTGCCTTCAGGAGATCAGACTGCAACAGAAATAGGAACGTGTGTGGAGGGAGAAATTGCATAAATACTGCCTTTGCCATGGGTAACTGCTACCACACTAATGAGACCCCTAATTTCCATTTTCCACCTGAGGCCTTACACCAGCTATAAGGCAACTACACCACAGCAGCAATCACCTGTGTGAATGCAGAAATGCAATCCTCAGGTCTCCCATCCTGTTCAACATCTTTTATACAGATACATTTATGAGACAAGCTGCACTCATGCGGTGCAAATCAAATCTATGCACATTTGCCAGGGGACACAGCCTCCAACTCTTGGGTTGGCTTCTTTTAACTAACTCCTAAGACACTGGATAAATACCTGTCAAAGAGCAACTTGTCTTTGGGAAGCCCAGGCAACGCTGTCACTGGTCTCCTTTTTTGCAAGCTCCCCAATGCCATATTTTCTCAAGACAGCTCCATATTTTTGTATTAAGCAAAAGCGTTATAACTATGCAAAGCTCAGCAGTAATTGAAAAGACTTTACATAACTGCATTTTGGGTTTTTTTTTTGTTGCTGTCTTTTTTAAGATTAAATGCAAGTTCTTATAAATAAAACCACAAATAACTGCTTTAAACGGACTGTTTTCTTACAAGTGTTGAGGAAAAAGCTATTTTTAAGTGGTTAAACAGCTTTAGCAGCATCCAAGGTATTCAGAAAATGTGGTTGTTACGCTGATGTATGTACACCTGCTCCCACAAGCAGTAAGAATACAAAGGCAAAGAAAATAGATTTCATTTGTTATAAGGAAGAGAAGTCTGGATCTACACAGCAATTTGATAGGGCTACAAATATGGATCTTAATCAAAGTAAAAACCCAAAATATTATGGCAAAGATCCTAAGATAGTCTTTAAAGCAGTTGCTCTTTATCTCTCTCCAAGCATTCATTTTTGTCTGGGAAGGGATAGCGCTTTGTACCCTCAAAATCTCCTAGCCCGTGTGTTACATGCCACGCAAACACAGGGGTCCTCTACTTCACCTATGTAGTTCTCCATAATATCATCCCCTTTGAGACCTAAGCACACAGAAAAAAATCTAGGGGAAGCATTTTAACAGTATGTGAAGATCAAAATATGGACAAAGAACCTGAACTGAGAGGAAATAACAAGAAACTTGAACATCAGGCCTAAAAGTGCATGCTTCAAACATCCAGTCTCAGGTCTTGTTTCATAATCCCATTTTTATTAAAAAGGTGCTGAATCTTGTAGCTCCACAGGAAAGCCTCCCAAGCTGCCAGAAATGTGAGTATTGGGGGGGTATCAGCCTATATTTGCCAAAAACTTGAATAATAGCTATGTTAGGCACAAATTACTGCAATCATATAAACATTTCACTGAGGCATGCAGTTATAATGACTCAATAACAATTTTCTTTTTGGACAATGCACTCAGAGATGTGGAGAAATGTGCTGACGTGTCCTGGTGCACTCCTGCACCCGTACGACCTGTGACAGCACACAGCCTGTGGCCACATTCCTGCCTGTGTATGAACCATGTCCAAGGAAGAAAGACGGGGTTACACCCAGCATGTTTCCCTTTCCTCAGTATTAACTAGTTATAAAGGTGAAGTCTTTACTAAGTTTTAGGGAAAGACTGCATCTTTTTAATCTTCAAAGGATTTTCAGGCTGTATTTGTAGAATCAATATCTTTAGAGATTAAGGTCAAGATTTCTCCCCAAAGTATTAAAAAATTAGGTGGACGTAAATGAATACTTGAAATATCTATTTGGTTGACAAATGTGGAGTGCCCAGCAACTGTTACTTGGATTTTCCTGTGCTCAGTACTGAAACCCAAGCATCATTTAAATAATGCAATGGACATTTTTCATGAATATGACTTCCATAATTTCTTTATGATAAGACCGGAAGAACAGACTGCAATGTGACCTCCAGCATAAGGCAGGCCATAGGATTACTCTGAAGGAGCATTCCCTGAAGGGAATCTTGTTTCAACTAGATTGCATCTTTCAGAAAAACATCCAGTTTGACGGCAATAAAGAATCCATGTTGATAAAAGATTCCTGCAATTTTTGCTTCAAGACTGAGTTTGTCTGACATCAGTGACATTTTTGTTCCTTGCTCCCTCAGACACTTAAAAATTCACTTTTAGAAACTGATTCTAAAGTCTTATGTTTAAAAATCTCTGCAGAAGTATTACAGCTAGTCAGTTACTACTGTGAAGGATTTAGATAGTAATGTTTTACTGATATGAAACAGGCAAAGTTCACACCTTTAGAATTTTCAATTTAACTCTAAGCTTTCCAATTTTAACTCTTTGGAGATGTTTGAATTATTTTTTACCTTCCAGCATCTTTAATAGG